TTCCACAATGGTACTATATGTGGAGCCTCTGGGTATAGGAAGCTCTTTCAAGTCAACGTCTGTACTGCATAATAAGACATGGGTGGTTGTCAAAATTATGGTCCCTTTTTGGGTCCTTATTATAATACGGCACCTAATATTTAGGGTACCCTAAACCCTAAACCCTAAACCCTAAACCCAAAAAAGGACCCTAATTTTGACGACCACCCAGGTGGAGGAGATACTCCGGAAACCGCAGGATCCCAACTGGGCGAATGCTTTCGGTCAGACTCCTCTCGTCGTGGCCTCGGACTTAGGCCATCTGCCTGTGGTATCTCTGCTTCTAGAGGCGAAGGCCGACCCAGACCTCCTTGGTTCCTTGGCAGCCAATTTAGAAAGCTCTAAAACTTTTAGGATGCATTAGTCAGCTTTATAAAGCATTTGGGATATTATACACTTCCCTAACACCTTTGGGATGCATTAGTAAGCTTTTTAAAGCATTTATGGGATGTTATACACTTCCCTAGAACTGAAAAGCTATGCTGTTTTTTTGGCTTCTGGAACTCTGCAACAGAAGGTTCGGCTGAAGGTGACGGAGAGCCTAGGTAGGCCTTTGGGACATTTTTCTATTTTCCCCTCAGTGGGCTTAAGAGGATCTTATTTACGAGTATTTTTCAGAGGCTTTGAGGGGCCAACCCTAAACCCTAAACCCTAAACCCCAACCTAGGAGCAGCAGACAGCCCTCTATCTGGCATCCACCGAAGGCCACCTTGAGATCGTGCGCCTGCTCTTGGAAGCCACTGAATTAATGTTTAAAGGAACTTTCAGTAGTTTAGGTTACCGTAGTGGGGATATATGGGAGTTTCCGAAAATAAGGGGTACCTGAATTTGGGGTCCTTATAGTATGGATCCTAGTATTTAGGGTGCTATATTAGGGTCCCCTATTTTCGGAAACCCCCATATATATATATATATATGTATAGTAAATAACAGGGATTCCTTAAATCAGAGACTGAGTCTAAGTTCCTTTGCAACAACTTAGGCAAATGCAGATCACGGGATCTTAAGTGGATCCCATGAGCGGACGGCGCTTTACCAGGCGTCTTGGCACGGGCACCTCGAGGTTGCTCGTGCTCTTCTGGACTTTGGTGCCGCTGTGAACCAGAAAGATGGGTGCTGCCACACTGCTCTTCAGGCTGCCGCCATCCTTTAGGGTTTAGGGTTTAGGGTTTAGGGGTTTACGGTTTAGGGTTTAGGGTTTAGGGGTTTAGGGTTTTGGGTTTAGGGTTTCCACACTGCTCTTCAGGCTGCCGCCATCCGTGGCTATGGGCGCATGGCACGACTGCTCTTAGATGCTGGGGCCAACGCAGATGTGGAGGGTAGCTTGGGAGACTCCCCGCTTCTCCACGCTGCGCAGGACTGGGTAGTTGCTAATCCTTAAAAGAGGGAGAGCATATATAATCTACCATAGATCCCTGTTATGGCAGTTTAGACTGGTTGTGACTCATTTTTAAATTCCTTAACAAGAGCCCGGAGGAAGGCCATGTGGAGGTGGTCCGGCTGCTGCTGCAGACTCTGAAGGAGGAAAACCTGAGGTCTCGGCACTTGGATGTCGTCCGCTCGCTGTTGAAAGCTGGGGCCGGTCAGCGTCCCTTGATGGCTGAATGGGATAATAAAGGGGTCCAGGTTTCAGGGTTTAGGGCTTTTAGGTTTTGGGGCTTAGGGTTCAGGGTTTATACGGTTTAGGGTTCAGGGCTTAGGGTTAAGGGCTAATGTGGGCGCTTTAATGATTAGAATAAGGTTTCTGGGTCCTTGTTGGCTACAAGTTTACATTTTTGTTAGAATAAAACCCAATAAGGATTAAACATGGACATTTCTAACATAGACCCAACAGGGAACCAGGTTTGGGGGTATATTATACTACAGTTATAACAAGGAACCCCCAAAAAATATATAATTGGGTAGTTATTGAGGCCCCTACATTAATATTTTTCCCTGTAGAACTGAATGTGTACACTTCTCTAAGCTCACAGGACCTACATTTTAAGGCTTTTGGGCCCAAAGACTGTACTATCTAAGGCTTTTGGGCTCTTATTGAGACTGAGGGTTGGGCTCATGATGAACTACGTACCGTAAAACCCAAACCTTAAACCTTAAACTGTAAACCCTAAACCTTAAACCCTAAACCTTACACCAAAAACCTGAAGCCTAAACCTTATAAACCCTAAACCTTACACCAAAAACCTTAAAACCGAAGCCCTAAACCCTAAACCTTAAACCCTAAACATTAACCCTTATAAACCCGAAGCCTAAACCCTAAAACTCAAGCCTTAAAAGCCCTAAACGCGTTAAGTGAGGACCTGAGATCGCCCGGCTTTTGGTCGGCGTTTTGGACGCCGTGTCCTTGGCACCCAAAGCTGGTGTCCGGGGCAGCTGAGCTCTGAGAGTGGACGCGTAATGTGGGGGCTCAAAAAGGGTTTAGGGGCTTATAGGGTTTAGGGTTTAGGGTCTAGGGTTTAGCTTATAGGATTTAAGGGGTTTAGGGGCTTATAGGATTTCGGGGCTTAGAGGGTTTAGGCTTAGGGGGCTTATAGGATTTCGGTGTTTAGGGTTTAGGCTTAGGGGACGTAATTATAGGATTGCGGGGTTTAGGGTTTAGGGTTTAGGCGCTTTTAGGGTTTAGGGATTTAGGGTCTAGGGTCCAATAGTAACAGCATTTCTTCGGGTTCCTTCTTATACAGTATTTCTATAATGTACCCCAAAGCCCGATTCTCAGTATGAGGTAGGGGCTTGACTGATGACCAATACTATTTTGGGGATTCCTTGCTAAAACATATAGTAGAATGTATCCCAATACCCGGGTTCTACCTATGGAGGCACCTATATTAGTAAAATTTCGCTGGCCCTAAATTTACTAGACCCTAAACCCTAAAACCCCAAAACCCTATAAACCCTATAAGCCCTAAACACCGGAAGAGCTATGCAGCCAAAAGCCCTAAAAGCTCTTCGGAGACTCGACGCCGAAGGAACCCAAAGGCTCCAAGGTACCGTTATGGAGGGATACATTCCCAAATCATGAGTATTAGGGTTTAGGGGTTTAGGGTTTATAGGGGTTTAGGTTTTGGGGTTTGGGTTTAGTGGTTTAGGGTTTAGGGATAATTATTATTCCCGATAAAGAACCCCTGCATTGTTCTATGTAGGTACTTGGGACCCGGTCGGAAAGAAGCTCAGAAGCGCATTTAAGGTTTAGGGTTTAGGGTTTAGGATCCTTGTCGCGCGTAGGGTATCTTGCATTTCAGTAGCCGATGAACGGGGAAGATGCCCCAAGCAGTCCTCAATCCAAACCCCTAAACCCTAAACCCCCTAAACCCCTAAACCCTAATGCTAAACCCAAGAATCCCTAAAACCCCAAGGAACCCAGAAAACCCTAAACACCCTAAACCCCTAAACACCCTAAGCCCTAAACCCTAAACCTCTAAATCCCTAAATCCCTGAAACCCCAAGAAAACCAGAAATCCCTATAATCCCAAGAACCCTTAGAAAACCCAGAAGCTTCTAAAACCTTAAACCCTTAAAGGAATCCCTAAAACCGCAAGAATCCCTAAACCCAAGAAACCCTAAAGCCTAAAGCCCTAGAACTCCCCGCACCGTAAAGGAATCCCCAAGAAACCCCAGAAGCCGAAGCCTTAGGGTTTAGGGTTTAGGGCCCTAAACCCTAAACCCTAAACTCTGACCCTTAAAGGAACCCTTAAAGGAACCTTTCAAGGAATCCCTCAAAACCCAAGAAAACCCCAGAAGCCTCTAAAACCCCTAAACTCAAACCTTTAAAGGAACCCTCAAAGGAACCTTTAAAGGAACCTTTACAGGAACCTTCAAAGGAGCCCTTAAAGGAACCTTAAGGGAACCTTTAAAGGAACCTTTAAAGGAACCCTAAACCCTAAACCCTAAACCCTAAACCCTAAACCCTTAAAGCCCCAAGAAAACCCCAGAAGCCTCCCGGCACCAGGGAGCTTTGAACTTCGTGGCGCAGAGCTTCGGAGCGGAGCTCCGTCTTAAAACCGCCGGGTTTTAGGAGGTTTTAAACCACGGGGTTTAGGGGATTTTAGGGGATTTTAGGGGATTTTAGGGTTTTATGGGTTTTAGGGGTTTTGGGGTTTAGGGTTTTGGGGTTTTGGTGGTTTTAGGGTTTTAGGGGTTAAGGGTTTTAGGGGTTTAGGGTTTAGGGGTTTCAGGGTTTTAGGGGTTTTGGGGTTTAGGTGTTTAGGGGTTTTGGGTGTTGGGTTTAGAGGTTTAGGTTTAGGGTAAAGAATTCAGGGTTTCCAGTCGAGACTTGCACCTGTAGCAGGTATTCCCACGTGCACTGCCTGGGGTTCTTTGCGTATACAATTACAAGCTTGAGTTTTTGCGTTCCGCTAAATCCGCAAGCAAATGTGCGAAGGATAGAGCTTGTGTCTGTCAGTACCGTGTCGGTAGTCAGTACATGTACGGACGGATGGGCACATCTATATCTATATCTATATCTCTATCTATATCTATATCTATATCTATATCTATATCTATATCTATATATATATATAGATATAAATATACATATATATATATATATATACACGTGTATGCATATAGCATGTTCATGCACATGCACCAAAACAACATGTCGGCACAACCTTTTCGCATTCTTGCTTCGCAGGGCTTCCTAGCTTAATACCTCAACAGAGACACTTTCACGGGTACATGTGCCTGCATGACCCTAAACCCTAAACCCTAAACCATGCAAGCATGCATGTCTGCGTACATGTGGGTGCACAAGTACATGTGCAGCTGGGCAAACCCAGCGCCACCAAGATTCCCTTCTCAGGATTGTTGTTTTGATCAGGCATATATACCATATAGCTGACGCATGTGCGGATAAATAGAAAGATATGTACATACATACATACATAC